CTTTTCGTATCCATCTTTCTATCTCATTCCATACATCTCCTTTTTGGATAATAACCATTGTCATTAACGCATCACGTGCTGTTTCATTTTCATTTAATCTCCGTAATATTTTCTTATTATTAACTGTGAATGCTGCTTTAACTATTTTATCTATTTCTTTTCCACTTCTTTCTTTAACACATTCTTTAATTCCTTCATTACACATTTCTTCATCTTCTTTATTGTAATCTTTTGATGTTAAAACATTAAATATAGTTTCTTTCATTCCTCGTTCTCCATATTTCATTCTAATCACTTCTCGTGCTGCACTTTCTTTAACTTCTGTGATTGGACTTTTCATTGTTTCTATTAATCCTTCAATAACTTCTCTCTCCAATATCTCTCAACACATCTATTGTTTTGTCTTTACAAATAATAATTCCTGCTTCAATTAATGTCATTCCATATGTATTATTAAATACTATCTTAATTATTTCTTTATCATCTCCTTCTGCATTACATCGCTCTGCATTTGTGATAAGCATTTCAATATTGTTCTTCATGCTTTCTTCAATTAAACTTGTTGGTGTGATTCCATGTTTGAGAATGTTATGTGAAACAATGCGAAATGCTTCAATTGTCTTTTTCCCTAATGACCTATACATTGTGAAAATAGTAGAATATCTTGAATATTCAATACATATACTGATCACAGATGCAATATCTAATATATTTGAATAACATCCTATTATTCTTTCACTTATTGTACTATCTTTATTTTTCAATCCCATCACAAATATTTCCCATGCATTTTTCTTATTTATTTCAATTTTCTTTCCTTTCTCATTTATTTCTGAAATTATTTTATTCATTATTATTTCTTTTTGTTCATCAGGAGTGGATTCAATTAATGTATCAACACATTCTAATTCTTTTGCATATTCCCAACAATCTTTTCCTTCTTTTGCCATTTTACTTATGATTTCTTTTCCTTTTCTTTTCATTGTTCCTTTTCTTTCAATGCATATCTTTATTTGTTCTTCTTCATTTTCTATCTCATCTATCATTTCTTCTTCTGTTGGAATGTCTATACTTTTGAATCTATTCATTGTGAGTATTACTATCATTTTATCATTATTCTGAATTTCTTCTATTGGTGTATTATTTATTATTTCTTTCTCTCTATTCCCTTGATTAACTTTAATTTGATTATTATATTGTGTTAAAATGATTGTATCACAGCAAATAATAGATATTGGTGATTTAACTTTGATTTCTTGAATTATTTCAATACTAAATTTCCCTTCATCAAATCTTTCTTCATACAAACTTATTGTGTTATTATGTAATATACAAAGATGTGGGAGTGTTTCCTTCTTTTCAATTTGAAGAATAGGTGTTGATGAAATACTTTGGATTTTTTTATACAGATAATATTCTGTTGGTGGACATGTGAATGGTGGAATACAACTCTGATATTTTGATTCATTTCTATTCATTTTCTCATCATTTAAATCACATAACCATAAAAATACTGATTTACTTGTTGCTAACATAAATTGTCCGACTTCTTTTGTTTTTGCTGTGACATGTGTTAAACATGAATTTGATAATACATCAACATGTCCTCGTTGTCCAAATCCAAGAATCGATGTATCAGGATATTCAATTACTCTCAGTGTTTTATCATTTGAATATAATGTAAAGATTCTTGCTGATAAAAAGTATCCTTTGGTTGCTCCTGAAATCACTTGTCGATAAAACACTCGATATGTTTCAATTTCAATGACTAATACAGTGAAATCACTTGAAATTGTGAGTATTAAATCTTCATAACAATCAATACTAATAATTGGTGCTGATTTCATTAATGGTGGTGGTGTATGAATTATACTTTCTTGTGTATCAATGTTATAATAAATGATTCTATTATTATCACTGAAACAAATCATTCTTTTATCATTTACACAATATCCTTTGATTGTTATTCCTTCTTTTCTAATGAGAGTATTGACTTGATTAAATCTATCATCATTATCCATTTTTTTATTATTCTTTTTTCAGTTCTTTTTATTTCTTTTATTAATTATTTTGAATTTGAAAATATCAATGTTTATTATGTTTATT